TTGGCACACGTTCGATTTCAGGTTCGTGTCGAAGCGCGTTGTTTAACATTGGGACGGATGTGACGTGTCAACGCGGAAGGATCCACGGACCGGCAGGAAATCTCTGCTCGAGTATAAACGATCATTCGTCATCGTTCCCATCGGGCTCGAATTTCTGTCCAAAGTGTTCCTTAAAGTTTGACCGTTTGAGCGATCTTCGTACGCACATGATACGCGTATGCGGATTCAAGTCGAAGAAGATGTGTCCTTATTGCGATACCGTTGGAAATACTGTCGATCAGATCCACCGGCACATCGAACGTCGTCACCCGAATTTATGCTTTGCGGTGCTCGAAATGTATAACATAAATGGAAATTGAATAGCCACCCTTTTTTCTCTGAAAATTAACGGCAACATTTTCGTATTTTTTGTCTTTGTACATATATATATATCGATAAAAAGGTCCGTTTCTTCTTAGTTAACCAAACGAAAACGTTAACAATGAGAGATAAGGAACGAAAATTACGTATTCTTAAAAATCGACGAACCCTGAAAGAGCAAGTTGACTCGATGTAGTTTTGATGTCGATTGAAAACTGTGCGCCGTATTGAATTACGCAATTAAATGAAATATTCTCGATCGTAGTTGGATTTCTTGTCTGACAAAGCATTTCCCAACTCGAAGAGACGCCCGTTTATTCTCGTCAACTAACGATCCTCGTTTTGTTCTTCCTGTGACTTGCAGACATACCGATCCCGTGTATGACTATGCCGAAGAATTTTCAAAGGAATTGCAACTACCCGATGATGCCTCTGATCAAGGACCTGGCGACTCTTTGGATGGCGAAGCGAGTCGAGTTTCCATATCGGTGTGAGACATGCGGGAAAGGGTACCAGCATCGCGCCACCCTGGTCAGGCACACCAGGCACGAGTGTGGCAAGGAACCGCAGTTCAAGTGCCCCTATTGCGCCCACAGAACCAAACAACGCGGCAATCTTTATCAACACATTCGAACCAACCATCCTGGCAAGAACGTGTTTTCGAGTAGCATCTAATAAGGAGGTTTAGGAGACAATTTTTTTCTCTTTCTTTTTTTCTTTCTCTGTCTGTCTGTCTTTTTCTCTCTTTCTTCCCCTCTCTGTCTGTCTCTTTATTTCTCTCTCCCTTCTTACTTCCCTTCTTTCCCGTCTTTCTCCTCTTCTCTCTTTACATTTCTTTCGATTTCTCCTTTCACGCGCTCTCTGTCGCGCAAAATCTTTTGTACCTTCTCGAACGTTACCATTTTGTGTCTAACACACGGTAGAGATAAAGAATGACAATTAAAAGCTCTGTCCTTCTGTAGAGTCGAGTCTTGTAACGCGATAGAATAGCGATCAATTAGCGAGATATCTCCATTTGCAAATTAGAAAGAATTATTCCGTTTTTTCATTCTGTCGAATGAAAATGAGTTTACCATCGAACGATCATACTGTACGCCTGTGAATGTCGTGATATATTGTATAAAGCCATGTGCCAAGCGAATATGACGAAGAATAAACAATGACGTTTTTAAAGCACTTGAACACGTTCTGTTCCAACAAAGAAAAGAAAAAAGAAAAAAAAAAGACTATATCACGACTGTTTATTTATTACGCCTCCTCTCCAATTCGTGCCCGAATGTGTCGCGTATCTCGCGAAACAATGCCTGAGTCGTTTGCCGCATGAGAAATGCGCATTTTCCGACGAAAAGTCTCTTGTAATAATAAAGTACGCTCTTTCTTTTTTGCAGAGCTGTCCTGGGCCGAATACCATTATCAAAGTAGAACCGTTAGTCAACACAAGCTATCCTCGAATAGCCCAAACTTCAAGGTACCTCGGAAATCGGCTGGCTGTTTGGACAAAAAGCCAGGTTGCTTCAGATGCCCGAAGTGCAACAAAGGTTATCGTTGGTTGAGAAACATGAAGAACCACTTGAGAATCGAGTGCGGCAAAGACCCGAAAGAATATTGCCCGTACTGTCCGCATAGAACGAAATATAAAAGCAGCTTGCAAAAGCACATTCTTCGAATTCACTTTGGATAACGAGCGACCGTGTTTTCGTGCATACGTGTCGGTCTCGCTACACCGTTAGTTGCATCTTGTTGTTGCACGATTAAAAATCACCGACGATCGTCCGCCGATCAATTGTGATCGATTTATTCGCAATTGATATGCTCGGATCTGAAAGATGAAGGGCTCTCCCGATTCAATGATCTGTTGTATGTTTAATAAATTGTTGGTAAATAGATAAACCTCGGGTTTTGTTTCACGTTTACTGGATTCTCGGTTTTGGTTTTCGCCGAAGCCGACGTGTTCTTCTCTTGTCGATCCTACTGTGTCTTGCCGATCTCGTCGTGCTCTCGACACACACACACACACACACTGTGCGGATTTTATGCGTTAAAAAGTCAAGAAAGGACGAGGAACGAAACGGAAGTTCATTTTCGAACGTTTGTGAAAAGCGTGCTCCACCTTTACTTCCAATACACTGACTAAGACTTTTGTTTCAGGTAACAAGCTTACATGCGAGGAGTGCGGTCGACTGTTCTCCTGGCCTTCCAGTTTGAGACTTCATCAAAGAATGAGTTGCGGGAAACCACGAAATTTCTACTGCACCTTCTGCGAACTTTAAGGGAGTTTTGAAGATGCATTTATTTTGTAAACATCGGATACGCACGCGGAAGTCTACTGTCTCTGAAAAATGTGCTGCCCGAAAATAAAGTGTATTCCTACCTCATTGCGACAACCTAACCCTTGATGCGAAAACATTCTCGATCGTTCTCGAAAATCTGTCATTTTCAGATAGAGACCAATTGATAGCTGAACGAAAAAAAATCTTTCGACACGAGAAAAAAAAAAAAAAAAAAAAAAAA